ACCACCCCCCCTCCAGATTTTGTAGACATTGTGGTATTTTGCAAAATTCCAAATTCAGTAGGTTCCTACAGATAGGCATGTCTTGTACTTCTGTGCAAGATGCGTTTCCTGTAGTCTTCCTTTTGCCTTCTAGGTTGCTCTTAGCAGGAAGCCATTGCTAGAGTTGTTGGATCATATTATTTGGAAGGATTTCAGCAATTTATTCCATTTCCATTAATAATGCAACTTTTTGCTCCAAAGGTCCAACTTCATCCTAGGCAAACTGTAGGCTTTCACTAGGGGAAAAAACTAGCACTTTTTTCTGTGTGAAATGGCAGTTTTTACCTACAAACTGAATGAACTCTTGTTTCCATGGAAGCCAAATATCTCTTTCATTCTTGCCAACCTCACCAATTTTATATGCTGCGCAGCTCTAGTCCTAATCTAATTTTATAGGGGACAGGGGTATTATTAACAGGACTGATTTGTTAATCATTGCCAGATAACATGGAGGAATCTGTTTTCAACCATTAGACCCCTTCCCCCACCCAAGCCTTCAAGGTAAAATGGGCTTGTTCTAAGAAAGTGACCTTATGTTAAGCAGTATGAGCAATGTTGTGGATTTGAATTGGGGGGTTGATTGAGGTGGCTTTGTTTCACACCTGATAATAGTATCCTTGGTGTCACTTATATGTAGAGACAATTAGAATGAAAGCAGTTCTGTAATGGCTTCCAGTTAAAGTTCACCATCTCTGTTGCAGGTTGCTCCGGAAGAATTCAAGACCAGTATCAGCCGAGTGAATGCATGCTTAAAGAAGAATCTCCCTGTCAATGTAAAATGGCTGCTTTGTGGCTGTCTGTGCTGCTGCTGCACATTGGGTTGCAGTCTGTGGCCTGTTATCTGTCTTAATAAAAGAGTAAGTGCACATTTCAAAGTGGCATTGTCACTATGGTTTGCAATTACTGTTACCATTAGATAACCTTAAGTAAGTAACAATGCCCTTCTTTATTTCAAACCTTTTTTCTATATCCCAGCTGCAGCTATAAGTCTCCCTTTTAAAATACATATGCATGTAATCTTTAGCTTATAACTGTCTTGGACATTAGTAAAATACATAATTTATTAAAGTAAGTGCCTTTGAATTATCTGGGTAGACTTTGTTGGATCTCTGAGCAGTGGGTTTGATTAGCTGATGTCTAGGAGTTCCTTCCAACTCTACATTTCTATGATATTATGAGTTGCTTTAGTAGAGTGCTGCTAGAGCAGCAGTTGGTCCCAGAGACTGTCCTAAGTAGAGTGAAATGTTCCAGCTGCTTTTCTTTTCATCCAGGTGTAAATTTCTGAAAGATGAAAATGATTTTGCTTCCTAAACAGTGGCTTTGTACCGCAGATATTCTGGACTATTGATTCAGCTAATTACATTTCATAATGTCTTAGGAGCAGCAGAATTTGACTTTTTATATTTGAATATTGCAAGGCTCCCTTTCTTTCCTGTATAATCTCTTAACAACATAAAGCTGGAAAGACAGTAACATCTTTGCAATCAGTGTTCAAAAAGTATTCCTTCAAAAAAGAAGGAAAAAAATCTAGGAAAGATTAAAGAAATATAGTCCTGGTTTTATATTTAGCACTTACATGCTTCGCAAGTACAGCCCAGCCTAGACTGACGAGCGGAACATATACACAG